CGGCGGCGGGGGTTTGAAACTAGAGTCAGCAATTCCAAGATCGCCGCTCTGATACCATGCTAAAATATGAAAACTATGAGAGAATATTTGTTTGTGAGAATTTTCTATGTATTCTTCTCATTGTAGGAGGTCATATTTATAAAACAACAAAACCTGAATGGGCAAGTAAATAATAAATTCCTAAATCTATTTACAGTAGGAAATCAGGAATTAAAGTAAATCGATTACAAATAAAATAGGAATCCTTGGTGTGTAAGGAAAGTAAGTCAATATCCACAAGTCACGCCAACATTATTTGCCACATCATTTGGTGTACAAATTTGGTGTCTCTAGCATTACCCCACTTTTGCTTGTATATATAAAAAGCAATATTGCTAGGGAGACCAAATTTTAATTCCAAATGAGATGGCGTCTACCACATCATCAAGTTTTAATTATAATTGACACATGTACTTAGCATTAATTGAATTATTTTAACATAGAAATTGAAAAGTAATTTATACTCTATGGAATTTGTAAAATGATTTCATGAAAACCCAAAAAAAAAAAAAATATTGCCAAGTGTCCCTAGCGTTATTGGTGAAAGCGATATAGAAGAATATGATTCGAAAATAAGACCTTAAATGCATGAATAACTACTTTTAATCACGTAAGCTATAAGTCCGTTTCAACTTTTCAAACAATTATATTGACGAAATTTCATGTTGGGTGAGCTCTTGCCATCCAGATGTTATTAGGCAAAAGTTAGGTTTTCCGCTAATCAATGACATGACCCACTAGAATGTGAACAGTAGGTGTCAAGAAAAATGTCAACTTGTAGTTTTTGGCTTTTGGATACAAATGTCATGTTAAGAACATGTATTAATTTAGTGATTCAAAGGAGTGTATTAGAAGAATACGTGTCACAACTTAGCTAGATTATGCAAGGATGGAATGGTTCAACGCATGCGCTGGCAGCAAAAAAACCCTATGGAAGACGGCATAGATATGATAAGGCCATCCAGTTTTCACAAAATTTCAGTTCAATTTGTGTATTTTCACCTTCATCGAATTTGCTTCTTGTTCTTGTTTGAAATTGTCACGTCCGCCGCTTATGAGACTTCCTTGCAAATCTAAGATCCCTTGCTCTTTGCGTTGCTCCACTCAAAATTCTGCCATTAAAAGAAGTGAGAATAAACCTATGTTAAAACAGTAAGGGAGTCGTTATTAGCACTCTATGCACGTAAAAAATACAGTAATTAAATTGCCCTTCGAGAGGGGTAATATAGACTTTTTCAAGTATGGCAGTATCAGCTTGATAACTTCATTTTCAAATCCAAAAAATAGAAAGGAGAAGCAGAGAAGAAACGAAAAATCATGCAAGTTTACATGTTGACGAACTCAGCGCCCAATTTTCCAATTTCCCAACGGTCGTCTCAGTCAGAGTCGGTCTCTTGTCTTCTCTAACGTGGGAAATCAATGGACAACGACACACAGCATCCATCCATCCGACTCCTACGTGTTATCGTTGTTATGTTAACAACGGTAAGTTCCTGGAAATTCTGGGAAATCCCCAATCAGGGCCTCGTGGGGTCCACTTGGGCGGCATCAAACGACGAAACAACATCTTTTAGCTTAGTTACTAAGGGAGGTCAAACCCAACACTTATTTCGGACAACACTCTATTGAAAATTAAATAACGTGTTTGACCACTTTTTAATATTAAAATAATATCCCCCCCAATATTCCCCAATTTTTCTGTTTTTCCCACACACGCCCCTATCCGATTGACAATGGAGCACCCCCTTTGGACCCTTTTGCCCTCAATGTCGGGGGAGATACATGATCCAAGCACTAGGGGCATATATGACATTCTAGAAAGAATGAGTGCCTGCCTTAAATCACTGGTCAAAACCATGTTAAAAATATCCCACGAGGGCCCCACAAACACGGAAAAGGCGTAGACCCCACTCGGAGCCACCTATATATTGGAAAAACCTTCTTCTCGTTTCTTCATCCAAAAAATTCGAGAAGAAAAAGAAGCACAAACGGCACAAAATTGAACACTTCAGGTCTTTGCTTTTCGAAAACTCAGAAAAATTAAACGGAAAAGGAAACGCGGCATGTCGTGCTCCGTCGCGGTTTCGAACTCGCCGGTGTTTTCGCCGCCGTCGTCTCTGTTCTGCAACAAGTCGTCTATGATCTCTCCATCCCCAGAAACCCTAACCCTAGCGACGTCGTCGTCGTCGTCGGACGCGATGGTTTCATGTTCATCTCCGTCGTCGCCGTTTCGGCTTCGGATCCCGAAGCCTCTGAGCGGGCTTTCAGCTTCGGGTCCGGGTTCTCCGGTGACGCAGTTGAAGAGGAAGAGGCCGGCGAAGCTTTATATTCCGGTGGTGTCATCGCTCTTTGGAGATGCTCCGGCGATGGAGTCCCCTGCGGCGAGGAGAGAGGTTGTTGAGGCAGACAGAGAAGGGTACTATTATGTGTCTTGCAAGAGAGGAAGAAGAGAGGCTTTGGAGGATCGATACTCTGCTACTCTTAATCTTCAAGGTGATCCCAAACAGGTAATGATAAAGTTGCTATCTTTTTTTATTTTATAAGAATTGGGATTCACTTGTTTTCGTCATTGAGGTGTGTTGGGAGCTGAATTTGGGGAAATTTGAAAGCTTTGATTGGAATTTTTCAAAATCAAGTTGGGTTTTTTATAATGAAAACTATAACAAATTTTCTGTAGCTTTAAAAAAAAAAATTAATAGTTAAATTCTATGTTTTAAAACCCTTGTGTGGAAAGGTTTTATAGTATATTGAATTCTACTGAAAGTAATTGATTATACTATGGATGCAAAAATAAATAATAATAAAATTCCTTCTTTTCCTAGAATGTGCATGGATGGAATCTATGTAGGCCTTTGTTGATTGTAGTTAGTTGAATGGGTGCTTGGAGAATTGGAATTTGATATGCTATAGCTTCGTGTTTGCAGGCAATTTTTGGTGTATTTGATGGGCATGGAGGTGCAAAAGCTGCTGAGTTTGCAGCAGAGAACTTGGCAAAGAACATTTTAAATGAAGCTGTGAGGAGGGATGATGATGAAATCGAGGAAGCGGTCAAGCATGGTTACCTAAATACAGACTCTGATTTTCTTAAAGAGGATTTTCGTGGTGGATCATGCTGTGTGACTGCTGTGATCAGGAATGGTAACCTTGTTGTGTCTAATGCCGGCGATTGCCGTGCTGTCTTGAGCACAGGAGGTGCTGCTGAGGCTCTCACATGTGATCATCGGCCTTCAAGGGAAGACGAGAAAGTCAGAATTGAGAACTTGGTAAGTACTAAGATTTTGCCCTCTAATTTCTTATAAGTTATGGTTATTTCAGATTAAGCCTCATTTGAATTGAGACTGATGGTTGTTGTGAATTTCTTTTTGTAGGGTGGCTTTGTTGATTTAAGCCATGGTGTTTGGAGAATTAATGGAACTCTAGCTGTATCTAGAGGAATTGGAGATAGGCACCTTAAACAATTTGTAACACCAGAACCAGAGACCACAGTGGTTAGAATCAAACCTGAACACGAGTTCTTAATCATGGCTTCAGACGGATTATGGGATAAGGTATAAAGATTCCCATGTCAAAATTTTGTTTCTGAATCTATAAATTTTTCCTATCCTTTGGATCAAATTAGTGCCGCCAAATCACTAAATTAGATTTCTTTTCTTTGGTTTCAGGTTAGCAACCAGGAAGCAGTGGATGTTGTTCGTCCTTCATGCTTAGGCATTGATGGGCAACCTCTGTTGGCTTGTAAAAAGCTGATAGAACTTTCTGCATCACGAGGCTCTTGCGATGATATTAGCGTGATGGTAGTCCCGTTGGGGCTCTACGTATGATTTTCATATTATTATCGTGACCCTAACACACAAGCTGAGGGGATACATCTGACATGTAGAATTTGCCCGTTGGTGACAGTATTGTTGACTAGGATTTGTGATGATGGGAGGGTGTGGTGCATCATATATCACTTGGGAGCCAGCCAGATCTATGCTTAGATTATTAGGGTATTAAGTTATTAACCATTCTTGCTAGAAGAGAGATTCAGCTTAGTCATTGATTTGTATAATTCTTGCAGCCCTATTCTTTGATTCTTTGTATAACTTTACTCAGTTTGTTCATTAATTTATTCTTTATAATAAATTTTTGTTCTCTAGAATTAGTTGTCTGATATAACATAAGCAATACATAGAATGTTACAAACTCTCTGACCTCTTCTGTTGGAAGAAGTCTTGGTCTTTAGCTACAACGGTCGAATATTGTACGAAAGACTTGATCTTTGTGCTGGGATTTCAGGTTTGTGATGATGTCGTAAGAAGATAAAATATTACCAAGACAATGACATGGACGCATTAGAAATTAAGTAATTGAGGACTTCAGTCGGATAATTAAAGCTAAATTCTATTTTGGTATAAGTGGTAATATGTTTCCCTCACCATGGTAAAGAGAGCGAATTTTAGACACGTTGTGAACACACTTATTATCAACTAGTTATTAGTTTAGAGGTATTTTCTTTTTTAATACACTTATTATCAACTAGTTATTAGTTTAGAGGTATTTTCTTTTTTAATGTTAGAAGATGTCTCGAGTATGTCGATGAGTGGTTCATAGGTTGTATTTAGATGGAAGCTCATTTGGTTCGAATTTCACCTTCAAGAATTCCCAACTATGTCCCTTGTTGTGAGTTGGATGGACTTATAAAATCATATTTATGACCCATGTATGGCCGACAGAATATGAGAGATTTGATAAACAATAAAACTAGAGAAACTAACTTATTATCCAAATTTTTAATAACTAACTGATATGACAATTTCTTATTTACTGTGAATAAATAAGATCCAAAATAAGTACAAACAAAAAACAAATGAAACATTGACACATCAGTTAACATATCTAGTATTAAACCTTGAAAAAACTCTTGGCGTGTGCATTATAACATTTGTGGTTTTCACCAAGGTCTTAAATATCGATAGTTTCGGAAATATCGGTGGTTCAAAAACACGGAAATATCGGGAAAATATCGATATCGATAAAAATTGGATAAAAACCACGGAAATTGTGATAAATACATGGAAATTTTTTATGAAACTTTGGAAGAAGTTTATTTAGTCAATCATCTATCATTTTGACACAAAAAATTGAAAGGAAATGCATTGCATAGTGGGTTTGAGTGATTTAAGTTGATTATATTGCGAGTTGACAAATTATGTGACTTAGAAAATATGAAGTAATTAATGAAGAGAATTAAACACCCCATAGTAATTTATTTATCATTTTTAGTACAATATTTTACATTTTATAAATTGCATGGTAAGATACATGTGTAACCTTATTTCACATTATTCATTGGACATGGTACACGTTCTTATATTTATTATTTATCAAAAATTGAAAAATAATTAAACCAACTTGACTTTTCATGAAAATTAGGCACTTTCCCATACTTAAAAAAATAATAGTGAAGATTGAAAATTAATTAAGAACATAAATAAATTTATCAAAGGAAGAATTAAGTAGTAAACAAAGAAAATAATTATAGAGATTTAAGTAATTAAGCAACAATTTGAAGGAGAATTTAGTAATGTAAGTACTTATAATGAATAATAAAATAATCAATAACATTAAATGAATTAAATAGAAAAGAAATAAATTATATTAAGTAATTAAGTAACTGATCAACAATATAAAACAATAAGTAATTATATTAATTTTTATTTTGAAAATAGCTTGCATGTATTATAAATACATATTCCATAGCTTATTATCACAAAGTGATGACTAGCGTGATGGTTAAGTAGCTACAGATCTTAGAATGGGGAAGGGGTTCGAACCCCTGCATGCGTAAAGTGAGTTTTCTTTAATTTTGGAATGTTTAGATCGCGATATTATTGATAATATCTCGATATATTGACCATTTGCAGCTGCCATGTGGATGAAAATATCGATATCAAAAATATCCTCGAAATTATTGATAAATTGACGATATATATATGGATATTTAGTTCCTTGGTTTTCACCAAATTTTTTTCATAAAAAAGAACAAAGAAAAAGGAAACCAGGCGGAAGAGCTATATCCTGGCCCACCCAGCCCACAATAAATAAAAGTATCCCAAGTATATTTCAAGGACGCATAACTCACAGTCCAGAATCCACTCATAGTCATTGGCCTTCAGCCCACCTTATTTTGAAAGCTGGCTTTGTCCATGGTTTATTCACTTGTTTTTTTTTTAAGGGGGGGTGGGGGGTCGGTGTGGTTGGGTTTAAATCTATGTCCCCTAACTCATGGCTTATCTATCTAATCCTATTATAATAAAAGAAATGACTTTGTCAACCATTGTGAAAAATACCTCCTAAAGTTCATGCTTTACTAATTTTTCCCTTATTAAAAGAAATGAAAAACAAACACATTAAGGGAAACAAGTAATTGGAATTCAGTTAATAAATTAAAAACTAAAAAATCTCCCAAACTACCATCAATCTTATCATCTCTGTCTTTCTAGTTAGGGCTAGTTTGACATTACTGTGCTGTGAAAATAATTGCTGCATATATACCTGCCGACTACTTTGCCCCCACACAATATATATATGGTTGTCGTTTGATGTATGTATATATTTTCACTTAATTTTATATCTTAATCAGATAATTAACAAAACCGGAGAAAACAATGAGATAATGAGGAATCACAAACCAACATGATCCGTTGTCAATACGAACCCCTTTCCCTTAAAATGACCAGAAAAGAGCACATGAACCCGACCAAATTGCCTTTGAGTCTACCCACATCGCATGTTCTTAATCATTAATGCTGTTGCCTGCCTCTCCTGGAATACCCAACTTTGCTTCGTTGGACTTTTCAGTTCTGATGTGCTTCCAATTACCATGTTTTTTTGTCTGTTCTACCAAACACATCCCGTATATCCAATTAATCAAATCTTCCCAATTACATGCATTGTATGTGGCTCTAATGTAGCCAGGTCATAGACTCATAGCGATGTAAATTGAATTGAAATTGAGTTCGAGCCAGCAGTCTTTTCGAGTATCGTTCTTTAAGACGATACTTGTAGGTTAGGCTGCTGGACATTAGTCCAATTCAAGTTGAGCCACTAAGCAAGGTTAATTCATATCTAAAGAACCATGATGGGCTCATTCCTTGAACACCAAGAACTCACATAATTAATAAAAATTCATGTACTGATGGTCGTTGTGAAGATTGTGATTCTGTTAACAATTGGTGTGCTGCATTTTGGCAATGCGTGCGTGTAATGCATGAACCTCAAAGGACATTATCAAATGATGAAGAGTTGTGAGTTGTGAGGTTCGCATGTCAGCCGCAAAACTTGCTACTTATTGAGTCCATGCATGTTGGATTGTCGGTCCTCCGATCAACGCCTGCTCTTTTGTCTTCATCTTCAACGACATCCGTCCGAGCCACCGGAACAAACTTAAACCTCGTATGCATCAACCACCCAAAATTATTAAAAATTGCAAGCCCACATTTTTTTTTAATCATAATTGTATTATTAATCATAGGCTATAAACAATAGGTACCAAACTTCAAGCTACTAGATTAGGGTACATATTACGAATGGTAAATTATGAGGAAAACTTGTGTGAGGTTATCAAATATGGAATCATAAATTTTCATACGGATAAGTTCTTCTTTTGTTTAAGAAATTGCTGGAGTGGAGTAGACTATTTGTTATCTTTTGAAATTGGTTGTATCTTTTGAAAAGAACACTAACTAACTGTTTTTCTAGTTATTTGGATTGAGATGAAGACCACTCTTGTCTAAAGATGGCTTCGCCCTTTAGATATCGTTGAGTCGAAATAAAAGATTAAACCTGTCTAAAGTCAATGAAAGAAACTTTTTATTTCTTATGCACATAATCTTTTAATTGAGATATTTTGTCATTCAATACTGTCATACGGCAACATCTCCACCAAAAAATTTCTTGTGAAGTATATTTGGCAAATTTTGTTTCTTGGTTTTACACATAGTTATATATCATCAAAAGGACAATGATATTGACACAAGCATGTTTATCTTTCTCCATAAGGTATGTACCGAATTGAAGTTTATCTACATCTTACCTTCTCCTTTTTGGTTTTTGGCTTTGCCTAATGGAGGTTCTGTGGACAACCACAACGCCCTCTCTTTTTTTCCACCTCCTTCTTCTCCCTTGCGTAAAAGCTTGTCCCAACCAATCCCATTCAAACATCTCACGCCCTTTATTCTGTCATGCAGATACCAACCTTTTTAACTTTGAACAAAAACTTGGTGCACTACACGTGGCAGCAAACCCACAACCCTCAAATGTAAAAGAATCAACTTAAGCTCTAAGCTTTGATATGTATGCCACGTGTGAGTCTTGACACATAAAACAATTGATCACGAAACTTCTTCTCCGTACGGAGGTTTCTACTTTTGTTTCATTGCTGGGTTTTTGAAGCTTCCTTCCTCATATGATATTTCTGTTAAATTTTAATTTCCTTTGTTGTGTCCCCACATTATGGTGTTCTCTTCCCGACAACAAGTTAGGAGTTAGGAGAGAGAAAACATGTGAAGTGCCGAAAAAGCCAGAAGGTGTTTCGTGTTATGGGTGTCCCCCAGATCTTTCCTCAAGATACCCAATTTGACATGCATTGCACACTCAATTCCTTCCACATTAATATTTTTTTTTTTCCCATGGAGTCTAGTGACGACGCGTCATCACTAGACTTCTCAAGCGTCGCGCTGCTGGTGGTGGGTACATCCCGCAGACTGACATGCATCCAAGGCATCTTGGAGTCGTCCAACTTCTCTCCTGCCGACGTGCACCTACAGTTTCCCTCCATGTCATCGGGTGTGGACCCCACCACCACCAACACAAAACGAAATCTGTCTGTCTTCTCCATGACCCATGTGTTGTTGCACTCCTCCCAGCCTCAAATATATTTGGCAGCCAATTTTCTACCTCTCTCTTTCTCTCTTTTTATCGTTATCCGGTGCGGGACGTCCGCATCAACATCCATGCAACCTCATCCAATTTTAGCGTTTAAATATTACGAATGAGAAGCAACAGCAAGGCCATGAAATATAATTAAGTCAACGAATCAAAGGGTCCGGATCTTGTTGCCCACCAAACTACCATGCTTCCACCACCCCCGCAATTAATTTTTTATTTTTTATTTTTATTTTGTGTTTTTGAAAATATTAAAA